AGATACGCAAATAGTCATGTTTATGTCCACTGGTCGACGTTTGCATAACAGGAATTGTAGACCACAATGTGGGCACATAAAACAGGTTTCGTATCCTTTGGCGATTCCATAGAAAATTCTTGGAATCTATTCAATGCCCGACAATCGAATGGAACTTAAAATTCTTAATTGAGTGGTCGCATGTGTATGAGCTGTAATGACATTTATTTGCCATAACGACTTATTCGAAAGGATAATTATCGAGATCGATGAAAGCTATTTTCAAGGAATGATGTTAGGTAATGTTATTTTTCTAAAGAATATGGTGGATGAGTAAAGAATAATTACAGCCTTTACCGCAGTGTGGATTTTTAAAGAATATATTTTTATGGTAATCATCGGAGAATTTTAGAGAAATCTTTCGAGGCTATAATCGTTGATTTTACAAAGGATTTAAGATGCCATAATAGTGGATTTTTTTTTTTAATTTAAAAAAATATTGACCAAAAATCTAGCATTTTTCTAACAATATTTTTTCGAAGGACCTCCTGACTAAAAATCGTAGAATTTGTAATAGCTTTTAATTTGGGATTTTCGAGGATATTTTTTAAATATCCTGATTAGAAATCATATTGCTCTTAATATAATTCCAAAATCTTGCTTCTGCTCGAAAATATTATGATCAAAATTTGTGAATATTGGTAAGAAAAACTACTGATCCTAAGCTGCTGAAGGAGGTTTTACAAGGACGCTCTTACCAAAAATTTTGGACTTTTAAGAAAAATTTTCAAGGGGACCTCCTGTCCAAAAATATTTGATTTTTTTAAACTTTTTCTAACGAAAAAAAGGGACCTAAAAATTTATTCAAACATCGTGATTTCCAAAAAAAAAAATATTCAAGAACCTCATGATATGACATCTTAGTTTTTTGGAGATTTCTTTTCTTTTAGATTTAAAATCGTGGACTTAAAAAAAGGAAGATAGACTTTTAAATTTTTTTCTGTTCGAAAATCGTTATTTTTGAAGAAACTTTTTAAGGACCTCCTACCCCAAAACTTCAGTTCTAAAGCAATTTTTTCAAGCACTTTCTGACCACAAATAATGAATCTCTTACGAAAAAAAATGTCCAATGCACAAACTATCATATTTTAGAATTATTTTAAGAGAAAAATAGAAACATCACAGACTTCTTGACTTAAAAGTGTGGTTTTTAAGACGATTTTAACAATGTTTTCTAGCAAAATTTGTAATTCAACCCTCAGCCAACAACCATGTGACTACTGAGGGTATATATCATCTGATATGATCAAAACGTGTATCATCGAAATTAGGTATTAGGTCGTAGTTCTCTTTAGACCAAATTCGTTTCAGGACATTTGGAGTCGATCTAAGGGTGCCCGTGCATTCTTATGGCTGTCTGATGTGTAACTCTCGAAGGGAGTATCCGATAATATTATTGTCAAACTTAGATCGAGTTCGGAGATAGACTACTTAGATGTCCTGAATTTTAGACAAAAATATCAAGGTCATCCTGACCAAAAATGTTAAACTTTTAAAGATTTTTTTCAATCACCTTGAATGCAAATCTGGCCTAAAATCTTGAATGTTTAAAGGACCTCGAACCTAAAGTCGTATTTGCAACAACCACCTTTTTCCAAGGATTCCGGACATAAAATCGCAGATTGTTAAGAAATAAAATTGAGGACATCCTGACCAAAAATCGTGGTTTACAAATGTCAAGAGAATTTCAAAGACCTCTTGACTAAAAGTATTTTTCATGATCGTCCACACTTTTCATGTTGGACCAATTTTCTTCAAGAACATCCTGGACAAAAATAATGGAGATCTACAAGAGAGTATTTTCAAGGACTCCTGACCATAAATTGTGGACTTTTGTAAAACCATTAAAAAAATTGCTATGATTTACTGACAGATAATAGTGGATATCCTAATGAACTCTTCTCTACAAAAAATCGAGGAACTTTCTGGACATTTCTTAAAGAAGATGAAACCTGAAAAATAGTTAATCTTTTGCCAGGGCAAGTCTTTTGGAAACAAAATCGTGAATTCTTTTCAATGACCTCTACAGGGTGAGATGAAAAACCTGCAACCAACTTCAGACTGCTGTCATTTCTAAGCCACTAGTCCGACAGCTGTTTAAATTATTCCAGTGACAGCTCATTATATTGTTTACCAGCGTACAACGGCATTTTGGGGAGAATTTTCCAGAAAAAAAAATTATTCGTGATGGAATTCAAGCGGGATAGCGTGATTTCTTTATATTTGGCTGGAAAACGTTAGAGCACTCCAGCATTTAAATGCGAATAAATCTTTTGTCGTACCATCGCTCGTTACCATGATACCAGCGTTGGTAGCATAGCCCGACTTCAAGGAAGTGAACGGAAGAAAACAACAACATCAGCAGAAATGGTTCGAAAAGTAAAGAAGCGACTTGATCGAAACCCTCGTCGCAGTGGCCGAAAAATGGCTCGTGAGCTGAACAAATCGCAATATTCCATTCGGCAAATATTGAAAAATGAGCTCAGGGTAAAGCCATTGAAATTCGAAAAAGTAGAAGAACTTACACGTCCAACAGCAAGAAAATAGAATCAAAAGAACTCAAGAGTTGCTTCGCTTGGCCAAAAGTGGTAAACTGCCGAATTTGGTTTTCTCCGTCTCTGATAAGAAAACATTCGTTTTATCAGTGGTGGGTGAGGTGCGAAAATGGAAAATATCGACCCGCTCCATCAAGTACCTCATCCACAACTGGTTAACATTTTAAAGATTTATAACTTTTATAAAATCTGAAAAAGAGTGCGATTTTCATTTAGTTTTTCAATACTTCTACCAACACATTATATAGTATGAGGAACCGACAGAACCGACCACTGCTTCTGATACCTCCCTCACAAGGGGTCAAAAATTTGAATACCAATAACCCTCATAAAATGCGAAATGACCATTCCATTCCTTTCTCCAAATATTTCAACACAAGATCTGTTGCGAAGATGGGACACTCCTTTTAATACCTCCCGCACAAAGGGTAACAATTTTCCATACTTGTATTCCTAACAAACTTGGAATATATAAATATTTCTTTCAACCCGAATTCTGATATGAATTTGGAATTTACTAGCCCACTTCTCCTCCTCGTAAGACCCCCACAAAAGATTAACATTTTTATCAACACTAATTCGCATGAAATTGGACCGAAAGTTTTTAACTTATTTTTAATTTGTGAAGAAATATTTCAAAGTTTCCAAACCTGAAAATCATTTGAACAAAAAAAAAAAAACGGATTTTACGATTTTTTTTTCATATCATATTTTTAAGAAAATTTAAGAAAGGACTTCCTTACCAAAATCATAGTCTTCGGACCAAAATGTGTGAATTTTTAGAAAAAAATCGTGGATTTTACAAAGAAAATATCAAGGACTTCCCGACCAAAAATTTAAAATTTTTAAAGAATTTTTCAAGGACAGCAAGTCGGGCATTCTTCATTGAAATATTCTTTGAATAACATTCTGACCAAAAAATTCTGAATTATTGTAAGAAAATAGTTTCAAGGACATTCTGACCAAAAACATTGAATGAAAAAAATACCCTTTTCCAAGAATTGCTGCAATAAAATCTTGAATTTCAGACAAAGGACCGCAGATCTGAAATTAAAAAAAAATCAAGAACCTCCTGACCAAAAATCGTGTTTTAAAAGACTCCTGCAGAAACATCGTGGATTTTTTTCAGAATTTCAGGGACCTCTTGAGTAAAAAAGTGTATTTTCTTGGAACTTTCTGGATATTTTTAAAGAATTCGAAATCTGAAAAAATTGGGTATTTTGCCAGGTTTTTTTCAGGGCAAGTCTTTTATGGAACAAAATCGTGAATTTTTTAAAAAAAAATTTCAAGGACCTCTAACTCATCAACTTCAAGTTTTATGTACTTTTTTAAGCAATTTTTTCATTGATGAAATCGATTATCTACTGGTTTTTTGATTTCTTGAATTTTTGAAGAAATTTTTTTCCAAAAATAATGGATTTTTTTAAGAATTTTTAAGACCAAAATAGTGGAGTTTTAAAATTGTTTCAAAGAACTCAGGCCGATAATCGATGATTTAAAAAAAAAATCAAGGATTTTCTGTTAATATTTTTAAGGGATATTTTTTTTACCAAAAACTTAGATTTTTGAAAAATATTTGAATAATCTTCCAGGGAAAAAATCAAAAAAATCAACAACGATTTTCTATCCATTATTCATAGATTTGTATTAGAAAATAACTTTAAGGGACTTTCCAAAGAAAAATTGTAGATTAAAAAAAATTTTATTTTTTTCTAAATTTTGAATTGTTTACGAATCTTTGACGAATATATGTTGAAGCTCTATCCAATCTATAATCATAAATATTTTAGTTTTATAAAAATATTTACTATGCTCTCATACAATAACTCAGAACATTTATATTCCAATCTGTTTACTTTTGTGCAGATGCTTAACGTTCGTACATTTCAACTCATAGCTAACTATATGCTGCCTGCAATGCCTTGTCACTTTTGTTCTAACTCTATGTTCGATTCAAACATGTTCGAAGCACGACCTCATACATTGGATTTGTGATATTTTGAAATAACCAAATAATGTTTAACGTTGTTTTCACATTGGTTTAGTTGAAGTTTAGGCGCCATTTGATTCAGTTCTTCAAAAAACACCGCCTGCCTGTCACCTAGCGCACACAGACGGTCTATGGCTGTTTTTGAAAAATAATCGGAATACAAATATTCAACTCCCATTCCGCCGGATATTAAAGCGCGCGAATTAAATGCAATATTTATGGTGTGGATTAAGGGAAAAAAGGAGAACCCAGTGCTAAGTGCTAATCTGGAATTAAATGCCGTTGGCACAAAAGATTAAATTTGAGGAGTTGTCCTGAAATCTTAGTGTGAGTGTGAGATGTTTAACACAATGCCATACGTTGAGAATGGAATACAAAAGTTAAATTAGAAAGGAAATTACCAATTATTTACATACCTTAATGTTGTTGAGTGAAAGAAATGCTGCAAGTGTTATGAGGGGTTGTTGTTCCTGTTAAAAAAAGATAAAGTTAATAAAAAGTGATATTTACTGTCAATAAAGTTTAAATGGAATTTAAATATTAAAAAAATAAAAAATATTAAAAAAAAATTAAAATTAAAAAATATATATGAAGAAAAACGTAGATAAACAGCATAATTGAAAATTAATTAATAATAAATTCAAATTAAATTTACTATAATTTAAAAAAAAAATATTTTAATTGAAAAATATTAAATGTTGTTGACAATAAAAATTTGTTTTAAATAATTAATGTTAAAAATAAAAAACAAAAAAATATTTTCCGAAAGAAAATATAAAATTAAAGTTATGTGAAAAAGCTCATCAAAATCTGTGGAGATATTAAAAAAAAAAAAAAAATAAAAATCATCGGATTAATTATTCCAATAATAAAAAAATAGTATTTTCAAAATAAATGCCAATAAAATAAAAATATAAATTCCAATGAAATACTAAATTTTCAAAATAATTAAAAAAAATAATAGAATAAAAGTCCTTCATTATCCTGTGAATATTTGTTGAATACGACTCGTGTTTCTTCAGCTCCCATATAACTGGAATACGATATTGGATTTATCGACATATCTTAATGGATTACAAACACTTAAGTTAAGGTATAAAACAATTTGAATATAAATCTTAACATTAAAAAATTAAAAATCCAAAAAAAAAAAAAAAATAATGGCCTCAAGGACGACATATCAGATGTTTTAAATATTTTAAGGACAAAATTTTTCAGTTTTCTAGGACAATAGGGTCACAAAAGTTCACCAAAAAATTATGGACTATCAGAGATTCGTGTTGGTAGATTCATTACGATTTGAGAAATTTTAAGATATTCGGACAAATTTTTCACATTTTATAAGCTTTGTGATTATTCTAAATTTTGATCGTTTGGGGGGAAGGTACTTGATTGAGTGGGATGATATTGTCCATTTTCGCACCTGACCTAGTACTGATAAAAATATTGGGATTTGCAAAGTTTGCGAAAAACAGGACGATCCTTTCTCTTTCTATGGGTAAAATTATTTTATTTGAAAATGTTGACCTTTTGTGTGGTTGGTACCAAAAAGAGTGGGCCGATATTGTCCATCTCCGAATTCAATCTAAATTTGATAATAATATTAAGATGTACTAATCTAGGACCAAATCGGATACTTCCTTCTAGAGTTATCATGGGCACCAGGTAGTCAGACAGACGGACGGACAGACACCCCTAGATCGACTTCAAACATCCTGAAACGGATTTGGAGCAAAAAGACCTAGGTCGAAAACCGTTATATCGATTAGGCACGTTTTGGTCGTATCAAATGATCTATTGCGCCTGTAGCCATATGGCTGAGGGTATAATTAAGGAATATCGACTTTTTTCAAAAATATTTTTTTCAGAGACAATCTAAGACACAACCGTTGAGTTTTTTAAGAATATTTCTTTGGGAGCTATTACAGCAGACTATTATATACTTGCCAAGGCGGATTTAAAAAAAAATTGCAATGACTTTTAGAGCCTTTTTAAAAGAAATGTTTTAAAAGGACAATCAGGGAATTTTGAAAGTATTAAACGTGGTGTTTTTTTTTTTTTTTTCAAGAGCCAACAGATCTGCAAACACGGACTTTTTAAAGGACCAAAAGAGCTACAAACATATGTATTTAAACAAAATTAGGGATCAACAGAGGCACGAACAAGGTATAACATAAATAAGGACCCAAACCTGGATTTTTTAAATAAATATTTTTTTTCTTCAAAGGACCATTTATCGCTGATTTCTTAAAGAAGACTATTTTCAAAGGACCATCCATCAAAAGTGGATTTTTTAAAGAAAAGTTTTTCAAAGAACCATCCATCTAACGTGGATTTTTTTTAAAGAAGATTTATTTCAAAGAACCCTCTAACGTGGATTTTTTAAAGGAGCTTTTTTTCAAAGGATCCTCTGACGTGGATTTTTTAAAGAAGATTTTTTTCAAAGGACCCTCTAACGTGGATTTTTTAAAGAAGATTTTTTTTAAAAGACCCTCTAACGTGGATTTTTTAAATAAGGACCCTCTAACGTGAATTTTTTAAAGAAGATTTTTTTAAAAGAGCTATTAGATTTGCCAATGCAGATTTAAAAAAAATCCCATGACTTTTTGAGCCTTTCTTAAAAAATATTTTTTAAAGGACAACGAAGCCACAAATATGGATTTTTCAACATTTTTTTCAAGAACCAACATATCCACAATCTTGTATTTTTTTGCAAGGAACTACAGATATATGTTTTAAAAATGCCACTTTTAAGGATCGACAGAGCCACAAATATGATATACAATAAATAAGGACCCATCTAACATGGATTTTTTAAAGAATGTTTTTCAATGACCATCTGATGTGGATTTCTTAAATAATATATCTTGTAAAGGATCACATAGGCAAGAAAAGTGGACTTTTTACAAAAAAAAAAATTAGGGGTTTACGTAAACAACAGAAGGAGTGGACCGAATTTGCCCATCTCTGAACTAGATCTAAGTTTGATAATATTACAAAGCACCAAGTTTGGGCAAAATACGATAGTTCCTTCGAAAGTTATCGTGCGCACCAGCCAGACAGATGGACGGACGAACATCGCTAGGTCAACTCCAAATGTCCTGAAACGGATTTGGTCCAAAGAGACCTAGGTTCTAAAACCGTTATTTCGATGACGATGAAAATGGAGAGACGGACGGACAGACAGGACGGACATGCATAAATCGACTGAGAATGTGATTCCATAAAGATAGATAGATAGATAGATAGATAGATAGACTCAGATGTATGACCCAATTGGACTGGAGGTTAAGAACCTCGAACATTTGACTCTAAATCATTCAATGTCCAACTTCTAAAATCGTTGTATTGAAAATGGGTAATGCCGTCCCCACATTTAAATACATATTTGACATTTTGAGTTTTCTGAAGGTTATAAGCTCTCTTTCTCCGATAATTCCCTATTCTAGGTATCTTAATGCCCAAAACCTTGTTCAGAGCCCACTCACACTCCTTACATGCGTATATCCTGTCTTTATGTAGTCTAAAGGAAATTAGCCACCATTAATAAGAAAACAAAACACAAATCAATTTTATGTTTATTTGACATTTCGTAGAAAATATTTGAAATTTAGACATTTATCTATTTCCAACTTCTTAATTTCAATATTGTTTTCCCAAATTATTTTCGTTTCTTTCGCCAAGGAATTGATTATTTCTATTTCAATCATTTGGTTCCTGGTATCTTAAAAATAATCAATAAAATCCCCAATTGTCCATTCATAATATTGCAACAGAATTATTTTTAAAAGAACAGCCTCCTCATAATCTCAGGAGCATTCAAATAGATTTGAAAGAAAATTGGGGTCTTTTATGTCCTTTTCCAGGAAATGTTTGTAAGGACTCAATGACCAAACTGAAATAATGTTTTCAGAATTATATTTTTTTAATTATTTCCTTTGTTTTGCTTTCCATTTTTTTAAGTTTTCAGAGAATGGATAATAGGCCATATTTTTTCATCAAAAAAAAAAATTGTTGCTTCTCTCCATATTTATTTATTGCACAAAAGGAAACCCTCCCACTCAAAAAGAAACGCTGCAATAATATTGGAAAGAAAAACAGTTTACGTATCCCAAGAAGATTTCCAAATGTATTGCCTATTTGCCAGAAAAAAAATGTGGAAACATAATTCAATTGAAGAGTGTTTTTTAAAGTCAGTATATGATATTTAATAAAAAAAAAAAGTAGACAATAAAATTAAATAACTTCTCTCTTTCTGTTTCAAGGAAATAGTCTTTTAAAGATGGATAAAAGGGCAAAAATTCTTCTTTAAATCTCATTCATATGAAAAACACAATATGAGAGGGAAAATTTTTAGCCAGAATTGAAAAGGAAATATTCAGCTCTGTAATAAAAATTATCACTACGATATTCGGTCATAGCAAAAAATAAATAAAATCAAATAAAATTAAATTTCTTAATTCCGAAAAAATCTCATAAAAAACCTCGCCGCACACTGCCATTTTGATGGGGTTTGTGTATTGGATAAAGGATACCCACATCTTTATATTGCATACTTTTCTTTTGAAGATGCTGTGATTGTCCTTTTTTAACCTTTTCTTCTTTTTCCAGTTGACTCGAACCAATTTCCCGACTTATGTGGAATTTCAATATGGAAAAACTCTTTTTCACGAAAAAAAATCTTATTGTTGCATTTTCCCACTAATAGCCAAGTGATTTGCGTCAGTCTTCTTTTATGAACTCGCACAAAGCATTGATGATTTCCAAAGAAATTCAAGGTTTCGATATTGAGATTGGCCTTCTTGGAAAGTTTTACATTAAAAGTGTACGAAAAATAAGAAATTGTACTTAATTTGGTGGCAATGGCATTGGGTGAATGGACGTAATTTTTTTTTTTTTTTTTTTTGTAAGATTGAGATATGTGGGTGATTTGGTACTAAACGGTACCAAATTGGAACCATCAGTATTGTGGGAAAATGGAATTCTCTGTTGAGATTTAAGGTTCTATTGAAATTTCGTAACATAAGGTAGGAAAAGTACTAAAATCTAAAATGTACCAAATTGTATACTACTGGTATTGGGTGTACTAGTAGTACGAAATGGTACTAGGTGTTACAAATTATTACAACATTGATACCTCCGGTTTTGCTTGAATCGTTAGAACAAAAAAAATTGGAATTCTCCAATGTAGGGTGATTTTGATATTTCGCACCATAAAGTACAAAAAGTACCAAGAGGTGCCAATTTCTTTACCATTGGTATTTGGGTAACTGATTGAGCAAGAGGATGAAAATTTGACGATAGCGTCATTTTTGGTTGAAAGGGTCGAAAAATGAGGGCCGTTTGTGTCATAAGTGTAGTAATAGTAGTAAATTGTACTAAATTTTATAAAAAAAATTGTACGAAAGTGTACTAAAAACCACTAAATTGAACAAAAGAACTAAAATCTGTATTTTTGGGCTCACATCCTAATCCTTTACAGCTAAACTATTGAAGTTCCGCATTAAGGTTTTTACAGGTGACCCTTATGCCAAAGTTCACAAACTTAGTCCAATCAAGTAGAATTTTTAAATCAAATCTGTACCACATTTCGAAATGATCGCTTTTATAGTACAATTTTTAAAAGTACCAAAACCAATGATTTTGGACAGAAATCCGGTACCTTTTGGTAAAAAAAATTTAATATCACGAATTTAAAATGTCCTGTAGAGTTCAGTTGAAAAAATATTTCAACAAGATGAAGCTTGTACTATTATGCAAAAAATGGTACTCTTAACCATGGTACTTTTTTGATAGAAATGGGTATTAAAAGTTAAAAAGTACCAATGAGAAACAGAGGAAGCTATTAAAAGTCGTACTAAAAGTTTCTAAAGAATTTTGGAAATTTTCTGCGAATTTCAATTGAAAAATGTACCAGAGTAATCCACACGAAGGAGAAGCAATCGAATTTTGAAAGTTGGAACGATGGTTACAGGTCTGGTTTAAAGAATTTGAGAATGGTAGACTGAAGAATAGAACCAAAGGGATAGTAAACACAACATTATCTTAAAAAGGCCTGAAAACTATTTTGTTTACAAGTGAATTCTGTACTTA